AATAAAGGAACTGAACTGTACTGGATTGCCTCATTGCTGTTCTTGGGCTGAACCTGACATCTCTCCTCTGTTCACTGGTGAAATACTTTATTTACATCACACTTTTTTCCATATAAATTAAAATGACATACTCAAGGCCCATATGAACTTCCATATGATTCCATATGGCATACACAAGGTTCCTTACTAGTCCTTCCCATGGAGGAACTTATCAGATCCAAAGCTGCTTAATTTGAATAGGACCAGATTATATGCCTGCAGACACTGCTGTGGTTTAACATGTATTAAAGAATGTTATTTTTCCTTTCTGATGAGCCCCAGTAAGATTCCTCAAAAGTTTCTGTGTCTTAATCAAATGTTTTGAAGACAAATGTGACTATCTAATATATATAACTTTCAAAATTTCTAAAATAATATATATAGAGTAATAAAATATTGGGTAAATGAATTGCTCTGCACTAAGATACAGCAACACAGTTTTCATTATGCACTACAATTATAGACTAATTTGGGTCTTAAAAACAAATAAATTGAATTGAAAAGGCCATAAAATTAACACCTGTAACAATTATTTACAAAGCATAAGATTTGGCAGTATGATTGTTCTATTAGTACAATCTGGCAATATTAAATATACTGTGCAACAGTTCACTTCATTTTTATGACAAATTAAGGTAGGATGTGTAAATCTTCCTAGAACACACTTGCAGCAATCTGTTGTGGTTCAAAAACAACTAGACGTGTTGCTTTTCAATCTACCTATAATTCTCATAGTTTGAATTATTTAGTACTCAATCTGTGAGGTATCATGACCAAAATTCAAGTTCCATAAGCTATGACTAACCATAATACTGTTGGTTAAGTAACACTTATTTACAGTCACACCCAATTTTGTTCATACATGTTGAACTATAACTTAAGTTGATGCCTTGGCACATTGACAAAAGGGGAGACCTTTGATTGTTTGCATAATATACAAAAGGATAACACCATCTGAACTGATGATTTAATTGTTATATCTTGCATGCTAGAATTCATTTAATTTTTAGAAATATTTGCGTCCTGATTTGATAAGACCCTGCTAATTGCAGAAATCCCTATGAGGAGCAAGTATATCTCAGTGTAGGATATTATACCTGCTCTGGAAGGGGGCTCTGGAAGGAAGAAAAGCTGTGAAGAAACCAGTAAAGTATATAAAACTTCCCATTATTCATAAAACAGATATATTCTGAACAGCTTTACCTACTGCAATTCCTAACTTGAATTTCTTAATAACATTGAAATCTGAGAGTCTATAAGCAAAGCCACCTTTAAATTCCATTTTTGTTGACTGTGAAAATTAACAAATAAATGGAACCATTTATACATTTTTGTATATAGTATGCTAAAGCATATGTATGCATTGAAAAAAATTGGATATATAACTATCAGCATATCGGGTAGTGAGGAAATTGTTTTGAAGTTCTACAGTATAATGTGAGAGAAAAGATAATAAGGTAATGAAAAAAATATTGAAGAAGTTGAACTTTTGCAAGTTATTTAAACAAAGTTAGATTCTTAAATATTAAAAAATAATCAGTTAGTTCAGACCAATACTAAGACGTGATTCTACTGTACTCATAATATAATAGTCTATTCAAAGATGGTTGGTTACCTTAGGAGATTTAAGTTCTCCTCGCCGCCAGTTAGTATCAATTCTGTGCTGTCTGATGTAAGCACTTTTCCATGGGCTATGAATAAAGCCTGGCTTTATTACTTTTCTCCTCTTGATATGTAAAGGTTCATCAATTCCTATATATTTTAAACAAATTCAAAATGATGTTAGTTGCATGTTCTGTTACACTCCCTTTCCAAAAAGATAAACCATTACCAATTTTGTTACATTCTGTTACATTACTTGTTTGTCATGCAAATCAAAACTATTCTATCCTTCATACAATTTATCACAAAGCCTTATACTAGAACTCCTATTTATTTACCTCTGTTATCTAAAACACCTTATTCAAATTTAATTTTTTCTTAAATATCTACTATTCTATATATAACAGTAGAACTGCAGTTGCTCATTTTCAAGCTTTCTATGCCTAACTCCCTTGAAATCAGTAATGTATTTCTTGTTAGCAGTGCACACACTAGCACTGATCTTATCCAGATTTGAGCCTAGAATTTTACACCACATATTTTAATATTCCCTAGAACACCTATGAAGATACTGTGCTATACATTCAAATGTTTAAAATTCTGTTTTTGTTCATTATCTCTGCCAAAAATGTGCATTTGATGTTCATTCTTATCAAAAAAATCAGGTTGTGTTTTACCTTTAGGCTTTTACTCACTCATCACTACCTTGAAATTGTTATCGATACTCAACATTAAAGGACTGCTTAGTTTCAATCCTGAACGTATGTAAGATACGTATCATGAGAAAAATTCATGAGATTTTTAAGATAAACATGTGCTGTGATTTCACCCATCTGGCCAGTTTTTAATGTAACAGTCATGGGCATTCATGTTATAAACTGTGGCATTTGTGTGAAGATGTCATCATATATGTCATCATTTTGATGTCATCATGGTTTGTAACAGCCAGGTTCCAAACTGGTAAATATGTTTCAAGACATAATTTATGGATCAAAACATAATTGGCTTTAATTTTTATTTACTTATTTTTTATTTGGAAGTTTCTGGGAACCAAGAATGTAACTTGCTGAACTTAATTTTGCTCTCTCAATTGCTAGAGTACCTTTGAAATTGTCACCTAACTAGATTTTAGGAAGGAACTGAAATCAATCACTTCTTGCTTTCCTTCAGGGGATAGCTGGCTGAATATACAAATGTGCTTAACAAACAGAAGCTCTTCCTGCAATTCAGACAGTTTAAGTGCCCTCTATTTTTACTCTATTTTATTAAACATGTTTGTTTCCTAACCTGAAAACAGTTAATTTAGCCTGTAACTGATAAAGGTTTTGACATGTATTTTACCACTACAGTATCATACTACTGAAATTTTTATCCTTAAAACACCACTTACTTGGATTTTTACCAACTATACAGTATCTTCTTGTATTATAATTGTCTTTCATAGTTTTGTAACAAATCCTTTAATGCATTTTAATAGAATTAAAGTGCATTCTAATTGTAAAGCTGTTTTTGTACAAGTGGCTATAAACTATTTATATTGTTACATTGTTACTGACAATATCAAACTTCCGTACATTTTCAGGTAACTTTTTTCTAACATGTACTGTATATTATGCACAATGCAGGCAGAGTTTAAATCATTTTGCATTTGAATCCTACTCCTTAACACCTCAATTACTGCCACAACAATTTGCTTATACTAGTAGATGTCTCAGCACTGAATATAACCTACCAAATTCTTGTGAGATTTTCCTGAAAGCATGGGATGCTTTGCCAAAATTGCATAAACTGTTCAAGAAATAGCTGTGAAAGATGGGGAGCTTCAGGTTATGGTGCCAGTAACCTATTTATATGTCAGCTAGGCAATCATTGCTACTGATTTTTTTTGTATGATGTGTAGCTGCTGCAACTCCTCAAATCAAGAGAAGTGGTGCTCTGTTCCCAACAGTCCCAGATCGTTCAGCTTATCCACAATATGGTGCAGTGACAACTTGAGTATGTCGAAGGAACTTCCTTGCCAGGTCAAGAAGGGTTGATTACGTGCATGAAAGAGATTCCAGGAAGTTTGCTTGTTTTGGCAGTGTGAAGAATGCAGGAAATGGAGGATCAAACAGCAAAGTAAGAACTCAGGCAATTGTGAGGAACATCTTTTTTTTTGTTCTTTGAATCTACAACTTAAACAAATGGTTCAGCAGTACTCATGTGAATTCTAATATTCCAGTCCTGAATACCAGAATTCATATCTATTGGCTTTAAAACAGCAAATTAACATATTTATGGATTTGTATTGCTGCTGAAATAAAAATATTTAGAATAATTAACTTTCCATAACCAAAGGCATTTTTTTCAATGAATCTCTGAAGATAAAATTTTTAACCTTACCCTCTTCTCTGCACTTCTCTCTCCACAGAAGATTGTCTTCTGCCAGAATTCTCCAGTATCGACATGTTTGTGCTGCCTGCAGCAAGTCCTTGGGATCCAGGAAAGAAAGCACGTACAGAGCCAACTACAAAAATTAAAAAAAAAGTGGAAGATAAAACTCACTGAAATAATTAGGCAATTTATTGGATCATATATATTCACATAATTGAGAAATGGTGATTATAACAAGCACAATGTGCATAATACCCGTATCTTGGTGACTTCCATCTTTGATGAGATAACTCTCAGAAATCCCATGAAATGGCCTTGAATTTTAGAAGAAATAATAATAATAATAATAACAACAACAACAACAACAACAATAATATAATATATTATTATTATTATTATTATTATTATTATTATTATTATTATTATTATTATTATTAT